ATAAACAAACAGGAATATCGTCTGGAAAGATTCCATCTAAATTGAGATTAAGGATATTCTATTTGCGCGAATCAGAGCAGCAATAATACCGAACAAATAAGCATATGATGGAAAATAGAAAATTGATATAAAAATCCCACGAAGAATAGTAAAATATTAACTGTAATATTTTTCGTCCAATCTGGCGATAAATAAAACAACAAACATATTCTCTTTAGCTATTTAAAAATCATATTGGCTATATTCAAAGGCTCATTTCAGGATGCCAGGATATGAACGCTAAGTCCAATCTTTAAGCAAAATATCCTGGACGTAGTATAAATAGAATCCTAATAGAGGGAATACTATAAATTACAAAAAAGTGGTATAAATGTTTGAGCCCTAAGAGATGCATTGACAAGAATCTAAATTAAATAACCAAAGGCAACTCAAATTAACATGGTGATTCCCAGAGTAAAAGCGTATACATTTTAAAAATCTACTTTTATTAAATGTAAAATCAAATATAAAAAGATTGAATTCTACCTGTCTATGGATATCCATATGGACTCCGAGGTCAAAGGAAGCAATCCTAAGCTCTTCTAGGCATGGGATAAATCGCCTATCTATTTCCACAACTGCTAAACGACTTGGCTTCTTTTTAATAATTGTTCGCGTTAACGATCCGGGACCAGGTCCAACCTCTAATACGCAAGCATTACGCAGGCTGCCGGCGCATCTTACCATCCCATTTATTGAAGAAGGCTGAAGTAGAAAATTCTGAGATAGTTGCTTCTTCGCTCGAAGATTAAACATCCGAAGGACATCCCGAATAGATGGCAAAGGAGGTAGTTTTGCAGCCTGAAAAGATAAGTCAGATGAATAGAAAAGCATTAGTGTTGCTAAAAATGAAGTGCGCATTAAAGGATCTGAGGTATGATCCATTATTCTGGAGTCGCTAAGTCGCAAGAAATTATGTTCAGCCATAGCAATAAAAATGAATGAATCTGGCTCTTAATTTAGCAAGATAAAGTAATTGGGTACAAAGCTGTACACCAGAAAAGGAGTTTACAGGAATCAGCTAATACCGAAAAAGTTTATCAATAGAGTTATTGTAGGATTGGTCCTGACAAGTTGAAGCGCGTCAATATAGAGGAATATTTTAAACTCACCCATTAATAAGTTATTAGTCGGAGAGTAAAATATAATAATAAAGCAATACAATAAGAGTTATCAAGCATTGAAAAAATTGGTTAGTAAAATTAGCATAAACATGAACATGTCAATTATTAAAAGGTCATGAAAATGCGGAAAGCAGACAAGACGAGGCTTACCATGGGTGAAAAAACAATGCAAAAGAAGCGCTTGCAAAAATGAAAAGTAAGGTAGAAAAAATACCGAACGACTAAGTAGCTGTAAATCGTAAAAATTGCATAAGGATGCCCTTTTTGTGTTTATTATAGATAAATATATTGATTTTGCTTTCCTGAAAAATATTTTCCTAAATATGGTGTCATGTAGACTTTATGACTTCCACTAAAATGTTCATTGCTGCATAATTTTTGGGCTAAACCTGAATTTTAAAGCAATTTATAAATTAACACATTAAAAATCGTACTTTTGTAATGTAATTTGGTGCGGCAATATAAATAAGGTGCTTAACTAAATAAAAAAGGTCATTACTGCAACGTGATCTTCTGACTTTATTTCGTTTGTGAGTAGGTTTTTGCATCCTTATATTATT